TTTTTTTTTTTTTTTTTTTTTTTTTTTTTTTTTGAGTGTTAGAGCAACTATAGAATTGATTTTTGAAAACATAGTGAACACAATTGCATGTGTGAATAAATTCAGATGGAAAATGTACGTATTGTAACGTACGAGTTTATCAATTGAGTTAGGAGTGTTGAATCGGTCGAAATCGAACCATATTAATCAAAATTTTGGTTTGGCAATAATGAAAACCAAAACTTAACCATTTTTGTGATTTGGTTCGGTTTCAAACCAAAAATTCATTGATTGGTTTGCTTCAGTTCAATTTGGTTATTGATTGGCCAAGTCATAGAAAATGAAGAAAGAAAACAAAAAATAAAAAAAAAAAATATTGATAATAAACATAAGGGTAAATTGCGCCAAAACCCCTTGTATTATACGAAATCTGCGTCTTATCCCCCTTTATTTTGAAAAATGCGTCATACCCCCTTGTATTATACTTTTGATTGCGCGTTATCCCCTAAAAATGCGTCATACCCCCTTGTATTATACGAGGAGAGGGGAGCGTGCGCAATCAAAAGTATAATACAAGGAGGTATGACGTATTTTTTAAAATACAGGGGGATAAGGCGCAAATTTCGTATAATACAGGGGGGTTTGACGCAATTTACCCCATAAGGGTAAATTGTAGATAAGGATTATTCTTTTATTGGCCTCTAGCAAAGTTATGGATAATGTCGTTTTTTCACTTCGATTTGGTTAACCTTGCACATTTATCAAAACCAAAAACAAAATATGAAATGAATAGTTATATAGTGACTAGGTGATGGAGAATATATTACTATTATTATTATTATTATTATTATTAATAATATTATTATTATTAGTAGCTTGGAAAATAAATTATGTTTAGGGTTAGAGTCTTATTTAAATGTTCATTCTGCTTTGTATTGGGGGAAGTTGAGATTTAATTAAAATTGTTCGTGTTCTTTTGGGAGAGTATCTCAAGTTCGAGAGAGTATCTCGTATTCTTCTCATTCATTCACGCTTTCGCTACATCAGTTGGTATCCAGAGACCGAGTACGTTCCACGATGCCACCAAAGAGAGGAAATGCTAACGATCCTACCATCGACGACCGATTGCAACGGATTGACGATCGGATTCATGGTATGGATGATAGATTTAACGAATTTTCTACGGGGATTGAGGAATTACGGGTTGCTATCAGTGCCATGATGTACGAGGTACATACGAACCGCGAAGGGGCTGACCGGGGCCATCGCGGAGGGATGCGCGGAGGTCATGGGGGTCCAGGTTGTGGTGGGGTGTCCCGTCGACGATCACCACCGCCACCGCTGACCGGTCATGTTTCTGACGAAATATCTGGAGACCAAAATCAGGACCACGACTTACGGTGGAGTGATGTTTTTGACAAACCTCCACGTAGGGCCGATGGTCGGCGAGTGCGAGGCGATCATGGCGGACGAAGGGAGGACGGAAAGTTTGGTGGCGATGGACTCCGTCAGCGCGGCAAGGAGGGCTTTCGCGATGGACAGGGACCCGACGGAGAGGGTTTATTCCGTCACGATGACCCGCTGACCGAGGATGATGACCTATTTCATCGCGACGGGGGCAGAGAGGAAAAGTTCCTGTGGCGGCGCGACGAACTTGGGGTTGCAACGGATGGTGATTTGGAGCGGCTAGAGGGACCACAGATGGTAGAAGAAGGCGAATTTCAGCGCCCAAGTCCTTTTGCCGATCGCGAGTGGATGGCGGGGATTGGAGAGATGAAGCTTCTCGCACTTTCGAACAGAGACACAGACAACGAGACCCAATTTTCACTCTAATATTGAGCTTGCATATGGAAGGCCCAACTACATTTATTTGCACCAGGAAAGGGATGGTTTTACTAATATTTTGGGCCTGAAAAGCCACAAGCAGGCTTTGACTTTGAGTTTGAAGAATCCCCGGGTTTCGAGCCCGACGCGTGCGATATGTACGACGGTCCACCGATTTTTGATAAGGAGCGTTCGGTGACGGAGTCACGTATATGCGATGATATGGGTCTCGTGTGGTACGTAGCAGAGGTTGAACCTTCGATTCGGCAACTATCGATCGGACCCGATTTCTGGCGTCTCTTGTCCAACGATGGTTTTTGGGAACCACAGACGAGGCTTAATAACTGGTGGTCCATTTTCCAATTGTCTATCACGATGTCTCCAACCAACGGGTTGTTTGGCCATAATTATGAATTTGAGCGTGGCGACCGTTATGGTATGTATGATGGTAATTCTGTTATGTGGGATATGCGTATGGAGGCATGTACATGTGCCTTTGCATTAGCTCATTCCTTGCCCGAGTTTATGTTTACCTTCAGTGTTGTTGGGCGTTCTTCAAGCTTCGTGTTCGATCGAGGACGGAGCGGGACACACTTCTCCAACGGGAACAGGTCGGATTCGAGGCCGAATCTTGCTCCACCGGGGGAGAATGATGGAGAATATATATGATTAATATTATTGATGATATTATTATTATCTATAATATTATTATTATTAGTAGCTTGGAAAATAAGTTATGTTTAGGGTTAGAGTTTTATTTAAATGCTCATTCTGCTTTGTATTAAAATTGTCCGTGTTCTTTCGAGAGAGTATTCAAAGTTCGAAAGAGTATCTCGTATTCTTCCATTCGTTCACGCTTTCGCTACATCGCTAGGGCTGTAAACCGCCGAGCCAAGCTCGAGCTTAAGGTGTTTGAGATCGAGCTCGAGCTCGGCTCGTTAAGTAAACAAGCTAAAATTCAAGCTCGAGCTCGGCTCGGCTCGTTAAGGCCTCGAGCTCGAGCCTTAACGAGTCGATCTCGAGTTTTAACGAGCCGAACTATAAAAAACTACATAATTTTCACTTTTTGAGCCTTAACGAGCCTTATCGAGCCAAACCGAGCTCGGCTCGTTAACCAAACGAGCTTTAAATGAGCTCGAGCTCGGCTCGTTAAGGCTTCGAACATGAGCCGAGCCGAGCCGAGCCGAGCCGAGCCAGACTCGTTTAATTTAACAGCACTAATAGTGAGGTTTTACGGTCCTGTTGCAAAACCATTATGTATTTGTAATCCTTAGATTAACTATCCACAACAGTTATATAATGATCTAATTGTTACAAATCCCAACGGAAGAGACGGTAACATTTTCCAACTATATATATTTGATATGTTTTTTACATAAAAATTAAAACAATATGAAATAGAAGTTTGGATCCCAATCCCATTCATTTTCGGAAATTTGTATAAAAAAAATATTAACATCATAACATTTTCTAATGTTATTTAATGGGTAAATTGCGTCAAACTCCTCTGTATTATACGAAATCTGCGCATTATTCCTCTGTATTTTAAAAAATGAGTCATACCCCCTTGTATTATACTTTTGATTGCGCGTTATCCCCTAAAAATGCATCATACCCCTTGTATTATACGATGAGAGGGGAGCGTGCGCAATCAAAGGTATAATAAAAGGGGATATGACACATTTTTTAAAATATAGGGGATAAAGCGCAGATTTCGTATAATACAGGGAGTTTGGCGCAATTTACCCGTTATTTAATATACTCTCTTATCAATATCCTCTAACCGACAATAGTTTCCAAAAACAAAGTACATCAAAAAATTCTCATCCTCTAAAATTCCAATTTAAATTTTGCAAAAATAAAATCCTCACACTGCACCGTGGACTGGGGTCACCCAAGTCCAGCGACCCACGGCCACGTCTTGGGTTGGTGGCTCGTGTCTATTACTGGGCCCTACACACTTTCCACACGCATCAACTCAGATTTATGGGTACTCGAGACCCGTGTGAAATCAGACCCAATCCAGCTGTCCCCTCTCGAGCAAGGCCCCAAAAGCCCATGGGCCCATTCCCAACAGTCCAAATCCACACCCTGACCCATAACTAGTTTCCTTTTTTAAAAAACAATATTAAAATTGTATTTTCTTTTAATTCAGAAAATCATATATATCCACTGAGAGCTACTGAGCCACATATCCTCCATTGTCAGCCATGGCCGTCCCCTGAAACAAAGCTTCCATATATTCGCCAAAAATCTCACCAAAATTTTGAGATTTTATCCAATTTCGTTCAATTTCTTGTCATGATCTCATTGGAGGATTCCAAATCGTGCTCCGGCGGCACACACCGGTGCCCCCTGACGCGGCCGTACTACTACTACACCCCGCCGCCGTCCTCCGCCGCGGTAACCCGATCCTTCGGCCGGTCCATGCGCAGAATACGGTCTAACATGTACAGATCCGGCCCGGCCCCCGAGAGCTCCCCCAACGTCTCCGAAGACCTCTCCGACTCTGTCATCGACCTCGAGCTAGGCGAGCTCGCCGTTAAACCGTCTGGAGGTTCGAAAAACTCGCCGCTCTCCGACATCAGCGATATTTTGGACATCTCGCGCTCGTTCAGTGATTTATCGGCGTGCTCGAGCGACATCTCCGGCGAGCTCCGGCATCTTGCTGCTCTACCAGACACTGACACGAACCAGCGGCGGAGCTTGGGGACTGAATCGGAAACCGAACCGGAGCCGTGTTCTGGGTTTTTAGAGAGGGAGACGTTTTCGACGGAGATAATTGAGAGCATCTCTCCGGAGGACCTCCAGCCGACGGTGAAACTCTGCGTTGACGCCCTCCGCTCAACATCGACCGCGCTGAAAAAATCGGCGGCGGCTAAATTGCGCCTCCTGGCGAAAAATCGGGCGGACAATCGGGTCCTAATTGGGGAATCCGGATCCATACCCGCTTTGATTCCTCTACTGCGGTGTCCCGACCCGGAGACCCAGGAACACGCCGTCACAGCCCTGCTCAACCTCTCCCTCCACGACGGCAACAAAACCC